GAATGCCTCACAAAAGTTTGTGCACGACCCATTTCGAAGTATTTCCCCAAATGCTTGCTTTAGCATTTCATAGGTTTCTGTAGCCGTTTTGGCGAGTCTTTGGCAAAATTTGATGCACACGCGCCATTCCGAAATCGCAGGAGGGTCGGTGTAATGACCTACCAAAACGCCCGTAACTAAGAAACAAATGCTAATTCGATGATGCCGGCTGGCACACTGATTCACTATGAATGTAGGCCGCACCCCCTAGCGGCAGAAGCTCGTACTACATCCGGTTCGCCCTCTATTGACACAGTCTTGAAACTTTCCGATCGCACCTCGAATGATGACCTTCAGTGTGTAGATGCAGGAGAAAGCTACTTAGAATAAATAATGCTCAGATTGCTCATACATGGAACCATTATTTTTTTTCCAGCATCAGTCCTGTTTTCCAGTTGCCGCACTGTGTAGTGTTCCTCAAGTCTTCTGTCTTTGGATCACTACGAGGAGTATTTGTAAGAATAAAAAACCCACGTACGCTCGTTAGACTAATCTAAAGACGTGAATCGCTCACTGGAATCGGCAACAAAGCCTCTACACAATTGGGTAAGCTACTGATTCACTGAAGACTTGACTTTCCTGAATACTGCCTTAGCAAAAATTCTTTCAAGTGCACAAAAGCAAATTAAGTTTATAATATTGTGAAATAAAAATGTTTGCCTCTAAAATTTCACGCTACATTTATCCGTTGTTTTTGTGCTGTTCTTATAAGGCTAGTTTCGAAAACATTCAAGCTTCTTTTGCACCACCAATACACGGAATAAATTATTTATTTTTAAATTTCTGCACCCTTTTTCCTTGATTACTAAAATACATATTTATATGAACGTTGCAATTCTCTCTTATGCTAGTCCACAAGATGTTCTGCAATGTAATTAAAAAGTAACGTTTTACATTGTTTCTGACGTGATAGTTTCAGATCTAAATTAAGAATTTTGCATCACGTCGCTCTCTAGAAACAAACTAGTAATGGGACGGGAATATAATATTCTTCATAAAACAGAAAAGTAAAAATAACTTTCAGTGTAATGGATTTAGAGTGAAAATAGCATACTTTTTAACTTTTGTGGTTTTCTGAGTGTTTTGTTACGCTTTTCAAAGACAATTCAAAATTATTACATTTTATTAGTGGATTCCAAGTAATTGTTTCTTCCTCTGTGTATATTTTTCTTGGTTTCTTGTTGTATTTGTAAACATAATGTAAATGTTTGATGTTTTATTAGTAATTTAAATGTTAAACTCAATTAATTAACGGCCGTCTTTAACACGAATAATATATTATATATACGTTAGCAGATTCTAAATATAACATATTATATACGTTAGCAGATTCTAAATATAAATACAACTGTAGGGGGCAAGGAAAGCTATATTACACGTTTTGATTGAAATTTTATGATCAGTGTGCTGGATTTAATAAATAAAAGGCTTTCCTCGTTATGGACAGGAAGTAAACGATTGTTATCCAGTTTTGTTACTAATAAGACAAACAACACTATAATAATTTAAATTTCACTCTATTTTACTTTGTGTTACACTGATCATTTTATAGCATTACGACAAAATTTTAAGTGCAGTGATTATGTCGAGTAGCTTTAAATCTTCTTAAATGACTTAATGACTTAATATGCAGCGAAGGATGCGGCAGAACGAAGCCGTAACCTAATTTAAGGTCTATCTCGATAGTCGGGGTTGTCGTTTTCCAGCAGAAATTCCAAAGCTGTTTCCTTCCGAACAAACGTCAAACTTTTCAATACGTCCAGCAGCCATTCTTCCTTCGAGTTAACGGAGAATAATTCTTAATGTGACGAGAGGATGTGTAATTATTTATTACGTTTGTGCCATAATATCAGTTGAGAATAATATTAAAAATATAATCGGAGGTCATGTACTGTGTGAGACATCCATTCCACATCGTTTTACCCCTTAGGATAATTAATTTTAATATTGTCCTTTCATCTACGCCCAGGTCTCTATAGTTATTTTCTACATTAAGATATACAGTCTAAACACGTACATTAATATATCATTTTTTCAACGTAATATAATATCTGATGGAAGCACAAATTATGAAGTTCTTGGTTATGTATTTTTCAATTTTTATTACTTATTCTCTCTTACGTCTAGATATTCTCCTTTACAGCCGGTACTGAAGCCTACATCCCGTAACCATAAATGTCTATACAAATAGTCAAATATAAATAAATATAATATGCATATTAGAGGGTACATTTACTTTTCTAGAAAATGTATTATCGTGGAAATTAGATCTTCTATCGAGTTGCAAAAAAAAATTGAAGGAAAATTACGCATAACAAATTCCATCAATCCATACAGAATCATATCCACAACAGGCTTCTATTTGGCACTGAGGTTGTTTGTCTGAACTAATTACATTCACTTTGCTCACAAAGTTCTTTGGATGTAACACTGGTGTATTACGTTATGTACTCGTACGCTTTCTGTCCACAGCCAAGTGAACTGGAATTGAAAACAGGGTTTAAGCGTTTCCTAAACTTTCACATGAGAAGCGCAAAAGAGAAAGGAGTTGCTTTGAAGTGAGGATGTGAATAAGCTCGCCTCCCCCATACAGCTCATACAGCGCGAGTTGGAACGAAAGCGATTTTGCACTCACAAGGTTTCAGAACAAGACGGTTCTAACTCACAAAACGCGTCCAAAGAAATTTGTCACGACAGTATTTCGATTCGGGGTCCCCAAAAATAAGATACAGGCACTATAAATAAATTTATTAACACACATCTGCCTCATTGGTAAAATTCATTTCGTTATCCTCTGATACAGAAGCATACGACGGAGAACCACGTGATAAATTAATAAATATCGATTCCTCATCAAAATTTCATTTCACATCGTTATATTACCCAGAAGTTCCAAATACTGTCGAGGTTGAAAATACATGATGCTGTATTTCCACAGCACATAAAGTTATAAAAATATCTCTACCTTTGTCCTTTACCTTTATACATTACAACGATTTAAGGTGAAGTTACTTATATTCAAAATGACTCGAAAAGTAAAAATTCGTAAAACTGTTACATTTCTCAAATTTAGAGTTAAAAACAGAGGTTCCTTTCTTGAGCACAAAACTTTCAACGTTAAACGTCCTGGTCATTTATCGTTATTTAACATGAAATAGCGCTGCAATAACATACAAAATGCACGTTCACAAATATAAAAATAATTAGGAGTTAAAAATGACTTGTTTAAAATATAATACTCGTACTTACCAAAATATGAATGTCAGGTTCTTCAGCATTAGATGGAGGCAATATGTCCCTCAGAAATTTTTGCCTACAAGTTCACGTGGCGTCACAACTCAGAATACAAATATCAATACCAGTAAAGTCTGAATATCACCTTCAATTAATGTGGTAAGATCGGTCGGCAAAGGTTTTCTATGATTTTTGATCAACATCTGTAACCATAGTTTCAAAGTGCAGAACGTTCGCCTTTCAATTAAGCAGATACTGGTTTACTGTTTCGAAATATCACTGGGACAGAATGTTATAATCCTGTATGTTCACGTACAATGATTGTGTTTCTGAGAATTGAAATTACCTAGTCTCGTAAACGTACACAAAGATTTGCAGATCTAGCCCCTGACTTTTGGGGTTACCATAATATAAGGCCCAATCACTGTTATCGTACACCTCATAGGGAGCTGATAGATGTATATGGACCAACAGCGGAATAACGACAACTTAGGGAATCTTAAGAACCATGAGAAAACCCAGCTCCAGCGCACCCTCGTTCACTATGAATCACACTTGGTGCCAGGCGGGATAGATCCTGGGTCTCCATTGTAAGAAGCTATCGCCTAGCCGCCTGAGCTACTAGGTATGTGAATTATGTGCCATAGTACAGTGTCGTACCCAAAGCATTCTGTTAGAAAGAGATTCCAGAATGTTATGTGTCGTACGTCTGTTCTCTGAAGAATAGGCGACGTAGTTCTGTCTGCTGTAAGCCTCTTGTATCCGCTTGTCATTCTGATGAGGAAAAAGCTATTCTGCTTCAACGCCTATCAGCCCACCTGCATATGGAACTCAGATAAGTACTTTTCCTGACCGCTCTGAGGATACTTTACTACGAATATAGCAACACTACGTCTTGACGCCAGATACTAATGTTGAAGAAAAAATTACAGACTGCTTCTGGTTCTACGGACGCTTACCGTCGATCATTTGATCAAGAAAGTACCACCTTCAATAAATCTAAACGTTCCTTTTCGTGTGCAATAGGGATGCCGTTGGAATCCATCCATAGCCAGCTACATTTCGCTCACACCATACATTTGCTTAAAATCCATGTAATCGTCT